GGCCTGTTGCACCACCCACCCTTTCCCACCCTTGTATGTTCAAGTTGAAACAATACAATAGCCAATACAGTGGTACCTCTGGTTGTGAACGGGATCCGTTCCGGAGCCCTGTTCGTAACATGAGCAGAATGCAACCCACGTCTGTACGGGTCGCGATTCGTTGCTTCTGCGCATGCGCGTGATGTCATTTTGAGCGCGAGCGGCGAAACCCGGAAGTAACCCTTTCCGGTACTTCCGGGTCGCCACGGGACGCAACCTGAACATATTTAACCTGAAGCAAATGTAACAAGAGGTATGACTGTAAAGGGGGAAAATGCATTTGAAACAACAAAAACACGTATGGTAAAACTGTCCCAGCCGAAAACAGGACAGTCGAATCAGCAAAAGAAACGGGTCTCGTAAAGCAAAACAGGCGAAAGTAAAGAGGTGTGTACAGCGGAAGCCGTACAATGAAGATGCTGGGCTCTGTGAGGAGGGAATTCAATGGTTTAAGGGCTGCCACAGAGAAAGTTCTTGCCCTGTATTTTAGAGGGTAGATCAAGTACCAAGGGGTCTGCCGATCTCAACACCTGAGAGAGTCTTTAGGGATGGAGGCCATCTTTCTTGAGGCCTAAGTGGCCTAGGGTTTTAAACGCCACTACGAGCTCCTTGAATTGGGCCTGGACTCCAACACTTTAGACTCCAGCCCGAATTTAATTCCCCAAGAGGAGTTGTGGTTTTAAGCCAGGGGTCAGCAAACTTTTTCAGCAGGGGGCTGATCCACTGTCCCTTATATCTTGTGGGGGGCTAGACTATATTTGGGGGGGGGTGTGAACGAATTCCTATGCCCCACAAATAACCCAGAGATGCATTTTAAATAAAAAGACACATTCTACTCATGTAAAAACATGCTGATTCCTGGACCATATGCGGGCCGGATTTAGAAGGCAATTGGGCTGGATCCGGCCCCCGTGCCTTAGTTTGCATACCCTTGTTTTAAGCAAAGCAGGAGGGGTGAGCCCCTTCTTATCTCCTTTCCTTAAGCCCTGGAGGTGCCCTTCCTTGTTATGGATTCGGGCTCCTTCCGCATTCATTGGCTCATGGTGCCTGTCACCTTGACCCGTTTGTGTGTCAGGAAGAAGCTGGCGCAGCGCCTGCAAGACGCCGAGGAGGCGGTGGAGGCCGTGAACGCCAAGTGCTCCTCCCTGGAGAAGACCAAGCACCGCCTGCAGAACGAGATCGAAGACCTCATGGTGGACGTGGAGCGCTCAAACGCGGCCGCAGCTGCCCTGGACAAGAAGCAGAGGAACTTTGACAAAGTACGGCGGGAAAAGCGGAGGGAATAATCCGGAAAGGATGGGTAGGGGACAGCTGTGGGTACCCCGGTTCTGCTTAGTGGGGATACTGGGCCCTACTGGACGCTTGTGAAGCTCAGCTCACGTCTGCGCCACATGCTCTTAACTCACTTTAACCGGTACGCCACAACGGCTTGGCTTCAAGGGCGTCCATTTGCTCGCTGTGGGAGCAGCGGGCCTAGGAGTGCCTCAAAAAATAGCTATTCTCAAGCCTTACTCTCTCCGTTTCTCCATCACCCACCACAGCTCCTGTCAGAGTGGAAGCAGAAGTACGAGGAGTCCCAGACGGAGCTGGAGTCGTCGCAGAAGGAGGCCCGTTCTCTCAGCACCGAGCTCTTCAAGCTGAAGAACGCCTACGAGGAGTCGCTGGAGCACCTGGAGACCTTCAAGAGGGAGAACAAGAACTTGCAAGGTGAGCCTTTTTCTCCCTCAGGGGCCAATCGTCCCGTGCCCCGAACGAAACCCGCTCCTGTCGGATGCCACCTGACTCCCTACCTTTTTGCTGTTCCCGGCAGAGGAGATTTCCGACCTCACAGAGCAGCTTGGATCCAGCGGCAAGACCATCCACGAGCTCGAGAAAGTGCGGAAGCAACTCGACGCGGAGAAGATGGAGTTGCAGGCGGCTCTGGAGGAGGCTGAGGTGAGGAGGGCCTTTGGCTGTGATCCAAAAGCGACACTGCGGCCATCTTGTTTTTCAGTTGGCCTTTCCATCTTCCTCTTTCCATTCCCTCCTATTCATTTCATCCTCCCCTCACGATCTTTCGCCTACAGATGTACAAATGTCCTCTCTGTCAGGCCTTTCTCTCCTCGCCCCTATTTTCATCTGAGGAACGCGGGAGGACATGGCATGACCTTGTTCCTTTCCCTCTACCCTATATCTCCCTCCACGATCCAGGCCTCTCTGGAGCACGAGGAGGGCAAGATCCTGCGGGCCCAGCTGGAGTTCAACCAGATCAAGGCCGACATCGAGCGCAAGCTGGCCGAGAAGGACGAGGAGATGGAGCAGGCCAAGCGCAACCACTTGAGGATGGTGGACTCGCTCCAGGCCTCCCTCGACGCTGAGACCCGCAGCCGCAACGAGGCGCTGAGGGTCAAGAAGAAGATGGAGGGCGACCTCAACGAGATGGAGATTCAGCTCAGTCATGCCAACCGCATCGCGGCCGAGGCGCAGAAGCAAGTCAAAACCTTGCAGGGATACCTCAAGGTAACACCAGAAAGTTCAGTCTTCTTGTCCCCAGTGAGGTGAAGCCCCCTTCAGTTTGTACCTCATCTCTCCCTCCCCACAACCCCTGCCTTCATCTTGCCTCCCTTCTTCTTTTTCTATAATTTTTGTTAAATTTTCTGTTTTACATTTTATAATATTCGTTTAAACAACCTTAAAATATCAGTGACTTCCCTTCTCTTTCCACGGCTCATTTCGCATAACATAAATCCTTGCATATTTTATATCAACTATTCAGTATTCCATTATTACAGCCATCAAAACTTATTTACACCACTGAATTTATCTTAATGCTGCCCACGGTTTCAAATATACCCAATTTCCCCCGATATATTCAAGAAACGTTTTCTAATCTTTTATAAATGTATGTTCTTCTTGTTCTCTTATTCTATATGTTAAGTCTGCAAGCTGCACATATTCCATCATTTTAAGTTGCCATTCTTCTTTAGCTGGAGCCTCGCTCATTTTTCATTTTGGGGCTAACAAAACATGGGCCGCCGTAGTGGCATACATAAACAACCTTTTTTGACACCTGGGAATTTCCATCTGAATTATCCCCAACAAAAAGGACTCTGGGTTTTTTGGGGTTTTTTTTTTTGAAAAGTACTTTTAAACATTTTTTTCAATTCATTGTGAATTATTTCCCAATGCTCTTTTACCCTTTTACAGGTCCACCACACATGATGGACCGCAGCCTCGGTCTCATTGCATCTCCAGCACTTATCTCGACTCCCTCCTTTTCCCTCCCAGGACACCCAGATACAGTTGGATGACGCCGTCCGAGCCAACGAGGACCTGAAAGAGAACATCGCCATTGTGGAGCGGAGGAACAACCTGCTGCAGGCGGAGCTGGAGGAGCTGCGTGCCGTGGTGGAGCAGACGGAGCGGGCCCGAAAGCTGGCGGAGCAGGAGCTGATAGAAACCAGCGAGAGAGTCCAGCTCCTCCACACACAGGTAAGAGGAGCCTCAGAAGCAAGGCTGTTACTGAACCTCCTGGGTCGGGATCATCCGGGAAACAGAAAATTTCTGCCCTCAGACATCCCTTCCTATTATGTACGTTTTAGCTATACCTTTGTACAGTGGCATTTGCAGGAGTGACTTAATACTCATCCCGCATTTGTAAGAAATCGGTACTTTAGTGTGGCAGCACCTTATACTTTGGAACTCCCTGCCAATTGACACCAGGGTGGGGCCTTCCCTGTGCTCTTTCCACCACCTGCTTAGCACAGGCATAGGCAAACTCAGCCCTCCAGATGTTTCGGGACTACAACTCCCATCATCCCTGACCACTAGTCCTGCTAGCTAGGGATGATGGGAGTTGTAGTCCCAAAACATCTGGAGGGCTGAGTTTGACTATGCCTGGCTTAGAATAGTTTTTGTTTAGACAAGCCTACTCAGATATGGAGTACGTTAATTGATTATTATTATTTTTAACCTTACAGCTGGTTTTAATTAATAGTAGGGTTTTGTTGTTTTTTTAAAAAAGTTGTTTTAACTCTTTATGACCGATAATTTTATTGTTTTATTGTTTTTGCAAACTGCTCTGAGGTGTTTTTCTTTTTTAAAAAACACAATCAAGCGGTGCATAACTTTTTAAATGAAATAAATAACTTCTCGGCAACCGAGTTGCCTTACTGGGGAGGCAGAGGCATCGGGGCATCCAATCTCGGGCCCTCCCCGGTGTGGCCACACAGCCCTGACCTCACCGTCACCTCGGCAGTGATGCCACCGCTGTTGCTGCAGCTCTTCCCTGCCTGCTGAGCTGCTCCTGGGCTTTCTAGAACGTTCTGAGCAGAGACCAGCATTCACCGTATATTCCTAATGTTTTTACCACTGCCTCAGGAGTGGTGTGGGGCAATGGATTTATGGTGTGACCAGTAGCAGAAGCTTGGGATGCCAAGCACGGACCGGAGTCGGGAGATGATTTCTTAGCTGGGGGAGATGGTAGCAGTGCCACAGGCACATCTGGGTTGTGGCGCAGGACCTCAGAAACATCTGGGTTGTGGCGCAGGACCTCAGAAAGAAAGCAGCACCTAGGAAGGCCCTCTTTCCCCACGACACTGGTCGGCCACTCCTGCCTCTGGTGTGGGGGCATGGACTTTCCGTCCATAGAAGATTCCAGGAACCATGGGACCAGCGTGCTGTGGGATTTCTTAGGATGGTTCAGAAATTGGGGAGTGGGGGCTACGAGATCTAGAAAGAGTGTCTGCCTTTGCCTCAGGCTATGAAGCCATTTTCTGAGGTCATATTTTGGCAGGTCCTCCTATTTCTCCGGAGGCCAGCAGCCCTCGATCAAAAAAACCCACGGCGTATTTGTTTCACAGAACACCAGCCTCATCAACCAGAAAAAGAAGATGGAGTCCGACCTGTCCCAGCTGCAGACGGAGGTGGAGGAGGCAATTCAGGAGTGCAGGAATGCGGAGGAGAAGGCCAAGAAGGCCATCACGGATGTGAGTGGAATGAGAGATGCGTTCTTCTTCTCCACAGAAGCAGTGGCTCCAACCTGGAAGGCTTCCTTATGAACATGGAAACCTGCCTCAAACCATTGGTCCATTGAGCTCAGTGTTGTCTACACTGACCGGCAGGGTTTAGACAGACGAGAAGCATTTGCACTAAGGTTATTTATTAGGAGCTGCCTCAACTGCACACTACAACACGGGTGGGTGACCCGTGGCCCTGACCTCATCATGTGCGGCCCCCAACACCTCCCAAAAGTTGATCCATCTTCCCTTCCTTCCTGTTAACGTCCTCCTTGCTTTTTCTAGGTTCTTCCTAGTGTTATTCCCCCACTTTCTGTGTAGTTTCAAAACAGCTGGAAGGTGCAGTGTTTTATTTGATTAAAATAACTTGATGGGATCTTATAAAAAAAAACTATTCCCCGTTTTATATGGCAAAGGTTTATTTTGGCCCATCAGTCTGAGAACAAGCGCATAGGCTTCAGTCATCTGTGTGCGTGTGTCTGCTGAAGCACACTAAAGTAAGAAAGGAATTTTGTTCATTTGCTGTAGTTCTGTTGTATAGTTACTTACCTGAGAGTAGCAACATTGAACTCAGTGGCGCTTCGTTCTGAGTTGAATTTTTGCAGGACCAGGAATTCTAATCTGAGGTAGCCATGGTGAAAATTGAAGCAGAGCAGGGTTTTTTCTTTTCTTTTCTGGATTAATTAAACAAAAACCAAAAGCAAAACTATTTTCATTGCTGGCTTCACCCACCAGCAGCTCTGCCCACTGCCAGCATGCAGATCCTGAGGGTTTACTCCTGAAGCAATGCAGCCCTGACAGAAAAAAATGTTGCCCCCAACCCAGAACAATGTATTCTTCCCCCACTAGGAGAACCATGTTTAGTGAAGATAATGTGAGCGTATCCCAGAATTCGCTTTTTCCTTTGATTTATTGAGAGGAGGAAGGAGCCATCCTCTCTGTGGTGGAAAATGAGGAGAGGCCTGTTAGTCACATTGACAGAATACAGTGGTACCTCGGTTTTCGAACGCAATCCATACTGGAAGACTGTTCGAGCTCTGAAACATTTGAAAACTGAAACTCAATAGCCGACAGCTAGGCCTCAGGATCTTGCATTCAGTGGAAGTTGCGTGGCATGTTCGACTTCCGGGCATAGCTGTCAACTTTTCCCATTTCTTGTGAGGAATCCTATTCGGAATAAGGGAATTTCCCTTAAAAAAGGGAAAACGTTGACAGCTATGGTTCCAAGGCGTGTTTGAAAACCGAAGCATTTACTTCTGGGTTTACGGCGTTCGTAAACCGAAATGTTCATCAATGGAGACGTTCAAAAACCGAGGTACCACTGTAAGCGGTTCAGGGATATAAAGAGAAGTATGGGCTCCTGGCCCTTCACCTCTCCTCCCCTCAGGATTTTTAAGGCCTGCGTCGGGTTTGCCAGACTGAGGTAATTCTCTGCGTTCTCTCTGCTTCCTCCAGGCGGCCATGATGGCGGAGGAGCTGAAGAAGGAGCAGGACACCAGCGCCCACCTGGAGAGGATGAAGAAGAACATGGAGCAGACCATCAAGGACCTGCAGCTGCGGCTGGACGAGGCAGAGCAGCTGGCCCTGAAGGGCGGCAAGAAGCAGCTGCAGAAGCTGGAGGCCCGAGTGCGGGAGCTGGAGAACGAGCTGGAGATGGAGCAGAAGCGCAATGCCGAGAACGTCAAGGGCATGCGCAAGTGCGAGAGGCGCATCAAGGAGCTCACCTACCAGGTGCGGGGGCTCATAGACCCCCTTTCTATGCAGAACAGCATCTAGTTGGGCCAAGATCGGACATGGTTCAATCTAACCGCATTCTGAGCAAGTAGCCTCCAGAACACACTGTCAGCGCCATCTCGAACCCAGCTCAGACACACACACACACACACACACACACACACACACACACACACACCAATTGCTAGTGGCTTGGCTCAGGAATCTGGAAAGATCTAGAATCAGGATGGCGATCTCGCCAAGCTTAAGATCACCTAATCGAACTGTTGGCATACAAAATCTAATGAAGAGCTGCGTTGCTCTGTGATTTTCGAATAACAGGGAGAGTTGAAACTAGTTGAGAATTCAGAGGTACAGTGGTACCTCGGGTTAAGTACTTAATTTGTTCTGGAGGTCCGTTCTTAACCTGAAACTGTTCTTAACTTGAAGCACCACTTTAGCTAATGGGGCCTCCTGCTGCTGCCGTGCCGCCAGAGCATGATTTCTGTTCTCATCCTGGAGCAAAGTTCTTAACCCGAGGTACTATTTCTGGGTTAACGGAGTCTGTAACCTGAAGCGTATGTAACCTGAGGTACCACTGTAATATCTTCTCCTGAAAATGAAAATTCAGGTGTGTTGCACTGAAAATGCACACCTGACATGAATTAATAAATGTAACTTATTAGGTCAGCCAGATGCTGCAGAAGACAGGTAGATCTGTTTAGGAAAGGCTTCTGGAACCAAGCATGGTTTTCCGAGTAAATTCTAGAGAGTAAAAATGTGCTCTGGAACAGTGAACTCAATAGTGCCCCCCCTCAACAGACGCAACCACACACAGTGTGGAGATCAAAATACTGATATCTCCACTAGGAATTCAGAGTTCTGATGCGATGGCTTTCAGTGGAGCTTCAAAACATGTCCTCCATCTTTTAAGTCTAGCACAGTCCAGAAGGAATTAAGACTCACAGCTGTGACAGGGGAAGGCAGGACTGCCCAGTGACAGAGGGCAAGATGGCAGTCTCCCATTCCACATTTGGGAGCGGCAAACTTGCTTAGGGGGCATGGAGTAAGCTAGCTTCGGGTTCTCCGGGGATATGGCTGCTGACTTGCTGCCACCGCTGCCAGCATCTTCTATTCAAATGTGATTTTGGTTTTAAACGCAGTGTAAGGTAGTCTCTATGGGAGTACAGTGGTACCTCGGGTTAAGTACTTAATTCGTTCCAGTGGTCTGTTCTTAACCTGAAGCACCACTTTAGCTAATGGGGCCTCCTGCTGCTGCCGCACCGCCGGAGCACGATTTCTGTTCCCATCCTGAAGCAAAGTTCTTAACCCGAGATACTATTTCTGGGTTAGCGGAGTCTGTAACCTGTAAGCGTATGTAACCTGAAGTGTATGTAACCCGAGGTACCACTGTATATTGTATTTAATTATGGGGTATCAGAGTTTTTAGGGGGCTAACCAGGCTGGGATAGCTGGGATAGCAGGCTTGTTGGTTTTTGAATGTCTGGTGTAGATTTTTTCAATTTTGTTGTTCTATATGGGGCAATGACAATAAAGATTATCGTATCTGCCACCTGAGGCAAATGCTGATTGCTGCCTAATGGTAAGGCCAGCTCTAGGATGCAATGTGAGCAGGAACAAAAGTCATTTAGGAATGGTTGTATGGGGGAAGAATCAATTCCAGGTGAGCCCAGCAGGGAAAGGGAGCTAAGAAGGCCTGACTTGTTTCCGGTTTCTGAATGGTTTGGTAGCTGTCTACGGCTGCTGGGTAAAGTTTGTTCCTTCTAATCCAGCCTCCGTGGACCATTTGCAGTCCTGCAAATACTACATGGGAGGTGGCAAAGCTGTCAACCCAGCACAGTGTGTCAGTTTCCTTCTTCAGCTAAATAACCTGCCTGTCTCTCCTTTTTTCATTTTGTGCTGTAGACGGAGGAGGACCGGAAAAACCTCGTCCGTCTCCAAGATCTGGTGGATAAACTCCAGCTGAAAGTCAAGGCTTACAAGAGGCAGGCTGAAGAAGCGGTAAGCATGCAACCTTCGGGGCTAGCGTCCTTCAGCCCCGGGTCGTCGTCCCCAGCCGGTGTTGGACTATAATAATAATAATAATAATAATTTATTATTTATACCCCGCCCATCTGGCTGGGCTTCCCCAGCCACTCTGGGCGGCTTCCAAAAGAATATTACAATACTGTGATACATCAAACATTAAAAGCTTCCCTTAAAAGGGCTGCCTTCAGATGTCTTCTAAAAGTCTGGTAGTTGTTGTTCTCTTTGACATCTGGTGGGAGGGCGTTCCACAGGGAGGGCGCCACTACCGAGAAGGCCCTCTGCCTGGTTCCCTGTAACTTGGCTTCTCGCAGTGAGGGAACCGCCAGAAGGCCCTCAGTGCTGGACCTCAGTGTCTGGGCTGAACGATGGGGGTGGAGACGCTCCTTCAGGTATACTGGGACCGAGGCCGTTTAGGGCTTTAAAGGTCAGCACCAACACTTTGAATTGTGCTCAGAAACGTACTGGGAGCCAATGTAGGTCTTTCAACTCCCATCAGCCCTAGCCAGTTTAGCCGACGCTCAGGGATGATGGGAGATGTAGTCAAAGCAACATCTGGGGGACCCAAGGCTGAGGAACACTCTCCTGGGTTCCCTCTGCCTCCTTGACACCTGGGAGAACTCACCATGACCTGCCCCCTACGTGGCTCACATAGGAACACAGAAAACTGTTTTATACTGGTATTGAGATAAGTAGTGCCTGCAATTTCTGGCAGCAGCTCTCAAGGGTTACAGACAAGCGTCTCTGCCTGCCCACCCAGAGATGCTGAGGATTGAACCCTGCGCACAAGGCAGGTGCTCTAACCACTAAGCTCTGCAGCCACTCCTTGCTTCTCCATTCCCCGTCATTATTCCCATTTACGTTCCTCAATAAATGGACCTGCGGGTGAGCAGTTTGCGGTCACTGTGGGCGACCGCAGAGAGCACTTCCATCTTCCCCAGATTCCCCCCTCGCGCTACACGCACTCAGAAGTATTATCTTATTTCTTGTTTACGCCTCTCCCCACCCCGTCCCCGCCAACAGGGCAGCCGAATGGGGAAAAAATGACAACAGAAGCAAATGAAAATCCAATATCCAATTCCATTAGAATCAGAACTTGTAAGCGGCGTAAAATCAAATAAAACCACATGTCAGCAGGATGTAAAATGACAAGATTAAAAACAGCCAGACTGTTAAAATCAACCGTCACCTGCTCTAATGCCTGCTGGGGGGGAGAAAAGAAAAAAAAGGGAAGAGGTTTTTGTTTTGTTTCTGTTAGTTAGTCAGGACAGAGGTGGTTTTTAGCAATCTTTCCAGAGGAGGAAATCCCATTCTAGGGGCGCCCAAGCCGATAAGGCCCTGCTCCTCCTTTGATGTCTGTCTCAAAGTTCTGGCATAAAGGAGGAGCGAGGCTCATCTAAAGGTCTTTACTGTAGGGCCGAGGTGGGCAACATTTTTATTTCCCTGTTGAGGGCTGAATTCCCTTGAGGATAATGCGCCAGGGGCTGCATATTGGCAGTGGGCGGGGCTACGGCAACAGTGGGCGGAGCTGGAGAAAATGGGGCGGAGCCTCCCTTCCATCCCTTTCCCTCCTCATCCAGCAACCTGCAGGGACAGAGTTTCTCCCCACCTGCGATTCCAGCAGCTAGCAATTTGACAGTGGAGGTAGAACCTAAGCCTTTCGTCTCCGGTAGACGCAGACAGCCTTACCCTCCGTGAATTTTCCAATTCTCTTCTAAAGCCATCCAAGTTATTGGCCGCTGCTAACCCCTTGTGGCAGGGAGTTCCGCAGTCTGCACCGCGCGAAGAAGCTTCTTCCGTTTTGTCTCGGATCTCCCAACATTCGGCTTCGTTCGATGCCCCTGGTAGGACGAACTAGCTTTAATACACCACCCCATTGTGATTTCACCCCATCTCTTTCTCTCCCCCCCAACCC